ACGGCGTCCGGCCCGATGCGCATCGGCGCGTAGACCTCGCCGTCGTCAACATCGCCGGCGCTCTCGTCCGCGTCCAGCATCGCGATGTCCGGGAGCATCCGCTCCGCTGGCGCCGGAGCCCTGGGCGAGGCGATCTCTGAAGCCTCAGCTGTCACCTCGGTGCTGGAGCAGCCTTCTCCATGTGTGTGCTCGCAGCACTCAACCTGTGTGCCCCTGCGGTCGAGCGCCGCATTTGCGAGGCGATCCGCGTGGCCGTTGTCCTGACGGTCGATATGGTGGAGCGAGTAGCTCCCAACTCGCGCCAGTTCCAACTTGACCTGGTTGCGCAGGCGGCGGAGAGCGGCCTTCCTTGCGGCGAAGATGCCGCGCACTTGCTGGATCACCAGCGTGCTGTCGCCTTCCACCCGCAGCGACGTGACTCCGTGGTCCGCGGCAGCTCGTGCGCCAAGCAGCAGCGCACAGTACTCGGCCGTGTTGTTGGTCTCGCTGCTGCTTGGCATGTAGAGTGAGCAAGTCCACATGACTGCTCCGCTGGGCTTGAACAAGGCAGCGCCGGCTCCACCTGGGCCTGGGTTGGCACGGCATGCTCCGTCAAACCGCAACAGCCACTCGCTGTCCGTGCCGATGTCCGAGGTCGGCACCACCGGGTCATCAGCTGCGTCGCCCACCTTGGTCTCTTCGTCGACCATGCCCGGCGGTTCGCTTTCCTTGGTCTCCTCGTCCGCGCTGGCCAGGTGCGCGTCAGCAGGTTCCGCCGCCTTGGTCTCCTCCGCGGGCGTGACTTCTCTGGTGGCTGGTGTCGTCGTCGGTACCAGGCGCTCCGCGATCCGTGAGGCCACAACGCAGCGCGGAAGAGGAGGGTCCCACCGTGGGCCTGGTTCGGCCTCGAGCCGCTCGATGATGCGCGACACGACCGTCGCGCGAGGAAGGGGTGGGCCCCAGCGCGGTGGTGGCAGCTCGCCGAGCCGATCGGCAATCCTGGAGGCGACCATCGTGGGCGGGAGCGGCCGTCCCCAGCGGCTTGACTCGTCCTGTCGCCGCTGCACGTCTTGCTGTTGGTGTAGCCGCCGTTGCGCGGTCTCCTCGTGTTGCTGCTGTGGCGGTTGCCGCTGCAGTAGCAGCAGCTCGTCCTGTGCTGTCGACCGGTACTCCTGCACGTCGACATCGGTGGAGCTCACCAGCGGGGGGGACGCTGTGAACTCCGAGGGAACTCGCGGGGGCAAGTCGGGCACGACGATGGCCGCTGCTGTGGTGGTGGCGGTGGGTCCGGCAACAGTGG